CTCCATGTTTAAAAACAGTTTCTCTAGTTTAACTTATGGAGAAAGTGGTTTTTGAAAATCTCTCTCCTTGGAAGAAAGATTTTGTCAGTCTTATTGATTTAAATATTTGTCAACTTTCAAAAGAAGTTCAAACTGAACAACATCTAAATCTTCTAAAGCAAATGAGAATCAAAGCAATTTTTATATGTACTGATGGCTCAAAATGTGAGAAAACAGGCAATTTTGGAGCTGGAATAGCATATTCAGAAAATGATAAAAACTATATTCTTGATTGTTGACAAATTGGAAAAGAGTCAGAAGTTTTTAATGCTGAATTATTTGCAATTTCAAGAGCTTTTAAATTGATTGAAATGAAGATTGAATAATGGAAAAGATTTGAGCATATTTGAATATTCTCTGATAGTCAAGCTGGGCTTAAAAGACTTCAGAGTAATAAAATCAGCAGTGGATAGTCAATGCTAGAGCTGATTTTGAAAAGTCTTCAAAATATTCAAAGAAAAATTTCATTCAGATGTTCTATTCATCTTCACTGGGTGCCTGCTCACATGGGTATATATGGCAATGAAATGGCTGATAAAGCTGCAAAAAAAGCAACTGAATTGGAAGTCTGCTTTCAAAGAATTGTAACATGGGCTTTTATTAAGAGAAAAATAAGAAAATCATATTTGCAAAAATGGTAAGATATCTGGTTTTTACAAAAAAAGAGTGTACATTATTCCAGGTTTGAAGTTAAGCCAAAATGGAAAGCTTGCTCAATAAAATGTAAAAAGAACTTGTTGCTACAATAATGCAGTTAAAACTTGGACATGGTTATTTTAAATCATATTTAACAATGATTAGAAATGATTTAAGTGATTTATGTTCAAATTGTCAGTTATATGAAAAACCAGAGCATCTTCTTTTACCTTGTACAAAGCATACAGAGTTAAGATTGAGATTGAAAGAGAAGTTTGAATTGACACAGTTAAATTTAAAACTTTTGTTCAATACAAAAACTGGAAATGAATTCTTGATTGAATATTTGAAAGAATCAAATGTTGCTACAAGATTCCAATTGAATAGTTTGATCTGATAATGAATTTAATTTTTATTTTTATTTTGTATTTGCTTTGATTTTTATTCTTGTTTTTATTTTTATTTTGTTACTTTTGCTTTGAAATTTATTTCATTTTGATTACTTTTTATTTTGACTTGTTTTGAAAAGTTTGATTTGTGAATGCTTGCTTTTCTTTTAATAGCTGCTGTTTTTTATACTTTTTATTTCATTTGTTTTAAATTGAATGTATTAATCTGTTGTCATTTTTTTGACATTCTTTTTTAAATTGAATAGTTTGAATAGTTGTTTGATTTTGGGCTGGAATTCTGCTATTACATGTATTAAATTGACTTTGTATATTAGCTTATTTTTAAGTTGAAAAATCCTGGAGTATTTCAGGTAGATGTCATAGTCACTGACTGCATACATCTATAAACGAAGAATAATAATAATAATAATAATAATAATTTTCTTAATCAATTCATAAACCGTATTTGAATAGTGTTAGTTGTTAATCGAAGTACGCCTCTTACACCCTATAGAGACGCATGTTACAGCAGCATCTTAACCACCTTTCATCAAATATTTCCTCCAAAACTTCTTCAAAGAGGACAGTGGGAATCGATTGTTCCCTAATTTGAAGAATTGGGCTCATTCGGAGGGGCGGCGGGCCCTGAATATGTCGCTGTAGAGTGGCCCCATGGCAACCACTCCTCAGACACCATAGAAGGTTCTACTAGTTAGCCGTTAAATAGTTATTGTATACTTCAGTAAGAAGCCTGCTAGTATTGGAGTCTCGGT